CATTGATGGTTTCACAAGTAAGTAACTTCGGTTTATTAATGCACGGTCGTGGTTAATAAACTTAAGAGGGATTAATTTTGTTGGTTAAACCGAAACCGTTGGTTGAGGTTTTCAATCTCAATTGATTTCATCGAGGAGTTAATTAAGAGATTAAATGTTACTATTAAGTCGGTATATGGCGGTGTTCTATACTTGACTAATAGTAAGGGTTATTAATGAACGGTCGTTGTTAATAACTACCCTCGATGAATTGGATATACGCCTCGATTGAGTATTCGAGAGGGGATAAGTTATAGATGTAACAATGATCGATTAAATATATCAACAAGTGGAAAGTAGCAATGCCAAGTCCTTTTTATCTTTGAATTAAATCTCATATAAGTCGTTCATCTTCGTATTTAAATAAATTAAATCACTCAATCCCAAAACCCCCCTTATTTACTAGTTCCATAAAAAGAGAATTATTCCTTTCCCTGTGGATACGAACTCTACTTCACCTATACTACGTATAAGTGTTAGTATCGAATATTATTTTAATGCACCGTGACAAAGTGCTCGTCATCGCTTTGCAACACATGTATTTTAACACACAATGGTGACTTATATAGACTTATATAAGCAATTTAAATAATCTTCCACTGGGATGATTATTTTAACGTGATATAAGTAACAAGCAAAATTGAAAAGGGATAGTGCAACCGTCCGACATTTTAGTCCAAAACATAAAGGATTTACCCGATTAGATATGTTAGGCCTACTCCCTGATGTACGATAACTTTAAGATGCATTATAATTAGAAATGTTAAGCGTATTATATAGAACAGATCGGCACTACTCGTGCATAAAGTAAGGAAAACAGTTCAAATGAAGTTATACATAAATTCATTTGAGTTGCAATAATAATGAAATAAAACAATAACAAGCCGGCCGCACACGTTAATTGGATTCCAATGCTCCAAACGTACGTAATGGAGCATCATGCAGGAAAAACAATTGTGCCATCACTTAGTGTTCAAAATTTTGCCTTAAACAAAACTTAAGAGCATCGAATTGAACGAATGAATTGAGACAAGAGATTATACTTCAGAATTCGGTTTGAAGAAAATATAGAAACTCAAAAGTTTGATTCTATGCTTACTTCTGGGAAACAAAGGAATTTATCTATGGGAGGGAGGCTGATTCTAATATGACATGTGCTCAATACTATACCTCTGCATACACTGGCTGCTGATAAACTTCCCAAAAGATTATTAATATTCTAGAAAGTAAAATGGCTACATTTTTCTGGGGTCCCACCAATGAAAGAAAGAAATATCATTGGGTGAAGTGAGATCATCTATGTTTTACAACTGAGGAGGGGGTCTTGGGATCAGAAGTCTCACAAACATTGAAAAGGCCTTTACACTAAAGCTATGGTGGAAATGGAAGACTCGAGAATCTCTTTGTGCTAATTTCTTGAAGGCTAGATACCCTAGAGGACACAATAGGGTTCCTAAGGTCTCTGATTCTCTTATCTGGAGGAGAATTTGTTCAGTTGATGAATGGGCTAAATCTCTATGTGGACAAAATAATGATGGCAATATCTATTGGGATCTTGCTAGTGATGGAAGATTTTCTCTTAAATTTGCTTATGAGGAAGTCAGGGAGGAGTTGCCCTCTACTTTCTCTGCTAAGCATATTTGGAACCCTAAATTACCTATGCTAGTTAGATTTTTCCAATGGAGATTGCTTAAAGGCTGCATACTCCCTATTTCTGACAAACTAGCTAGATTTCAGACTGCTCTTTATCCATCTATGTGCCCTTTTTGTAGGGCTCACTCTGATTGTTTGGATCATGTTTTCTATGGTTGTGAGAGGGTTAAACCAGTGTGTAGGTGTTTCATGGGCATTCTTGGGGTGCCAATTCTTCATCAAACTGATTCAGTTAAACAAGTGTTTATTTCTTGGTGGCTTAAGGCAGGCTCTAAAACTATGGATGATGTTTTTAAACACTGTCTTCCTGGAATCATTTGTTGGCAGATTTGGAAGTGTTATGCCAATTTGATTTGGGGGTTTGACGGCAGTAGACCTACATCAGTGGGAATTATTAATCAGATCACACATTTTACTCAAACTTGGGCTACTAATAGTATCTCTTCCAAATCAATTTCAGTAGGACAGATTTTATATGAAGAGGAGCTTTTACCAAAAACCTTTAGACTCCCAAGACCTTCAATTAAGGCCATTACTTGGAGAAAACCAAAGAGATCCCTTAAATTAAATGTTGATGCAAGCTTTTTACCTGATCGTGTAGCAGGAGGTGTTATTCTGAGAGATGGCGGTGGAAGGCTGCTTGTGGCTTCTTCATACCCGATATCAGCTTCCTCAGCATTTGAAGCATAGCTCCTATCGGTGGTTCATGCAACGACCTGGGTGGCAGATCTTGGCTTTCGTGATTTCAGGTGGAAATGGATTCTACTGAGATTTTGGAGTATATCTCTTGCGGTCGGGTTGGAAGATGGAGTGTGGAGGTGCGCCGCATGTTGACTCTGTCTGAACAAAGGGGTATTTCCTTTTTTGTTGTTTGGAGGGAGGGTAATTGGGCCACCCACCTTCTGGCAACACTAGTGGAAAAATAGTGATTAGAGGTGCTTCAAATTGGTCACTAGAGGCGCTTCGAAGCGCCTCTAGTTTTTGTGTCGCAAATGTCGTTTAGAGGCGCTTTTTGCACCAAAAGCGCCTCTGAAAACAATTATTAATTATTGGCGTGCGGCGCTTGTGTAATCAAAAGTGCCTCCAATTTGAAACAGTTGAGGCACTTTTTTTCTTAAAAGCGCCTCTGATTTCAACATTTTTCAACATTTGTAAAATATATCGAAGCGCCTCCAATTGTAAGATTTTTTTTAATATTTTCTATTTTGAAATTGCCTATTTAAAATTAAAAATAAACAATCTACCACAAAATTGTGACGAACAATATCAAATCGTTTATTAAACAATCATTTAAATGAAACAAAACTAGTAAGAAATGTTAACTCGATTTCAATAGTACTCGAAATACAATCAAATCTGCTCAAGTTTACATATTTAATACTACATCTAAAAGTTTACACACTAGATATTGTTCATGTTGTTGAACTCTTCGTATATGCAAATGGTTCGCTCTTTGGAACTTTAACCTGAAATGTTCATACATAAAAATTATGATGAATACAAAATTATAAGTGTTCGCTTACAGAATATATTAAATACAACAATATATACTCCGTAATCAATAATATTGAAAACCAACTTACTAATATCTATCTAATATCAGAATTTCTATCTTAAAATATCGCTTCCCACATAATGTATGTAGCAAATTTAGTAGAAATAAGGCTGAGTTGTCATTTCTCTATTCATTACAACATCTGCAACACAAAATTTAGTTTTTTCATTATGGACCAGTTCAACAAATGAGTTAATATTTGGTTCTAATTACTTGGTTATACGGCCAATGAAGATAAATAAAAGAACACCACATCGTCACTTATATTGATTGGTGTAGCAACAAAAATATAAAAACCTCTTAACCATTGTACAAAAACACAAAATGAAGCCCGTTTTACAATTTCAAGGCCATAAAGCCAAGGGTGAGAAAGAGTGAGCTTTAAACAAATGCTCCTGAAAAGTAAAATACATCTTAATCACCACATTCAAATGCCATGTATATCAAATCTCATAGAACCTTAATATCCGAAACTCAGTTAAACTCCCAGAAGATCATGCATTCGAAAGTTTTAATTATGCAGCCAAGAGTTGCTTGATTTTAAAGTCTAGTTTAATGGATGGAAGAGAAATGCATTGGCAGCAAAATCAAGCCATGTTTATTATGAATTATGTTAAAAAGTAGAGCTCAAACATACCGTAGGAAAACCTACCTAATTTGACAACGCAGGCACCTAATTCGACTCTGAAACTTTGGAGTGTGAATTCTCAAACTTTAACTCTCAAATGGAGTGTCTTACCAAAGGTGAGAGTCATGAGGTACAAGTTTAAAAACGCAACCCGCAGCGGAGAGAACAAACATCATTTAATCCGGAATCTTTTACAGGCGCTTTGTGTGCTGAAGCGTCGCACGCATCGTAATTAATTTTAATATAATAAAATAATTTCTTTTAATTGTTAGAGGCGCTTATAAAAACCAAGCGCCGCACGCCATATCCGATAATTATTTGGAAGGCGCTTATCCCTCGGAAGCGCCGCACGGTTAAATTTTTCTGCAATTAGAGGCGTTTGTGCATAAAAACGCCTCAAATGAAGCGCCTCCTTTTGACGTTTTTCCACTAGTGCAAAATCTTTTTTGGGTCAGGGCATGATTTATATACAGATTGATGAGTTACCCATTACGGTCCAAAGCCCGGTCTATTTAGACATGTTTGAGCTAGCATCTTTGAGAATAACCTAGTAATTTTTATTATTTGTTTTTTCTCGGGTCAGGTTTGGCCCCCTGATGTTTTATCTCTTGCTCTGTTGATCTTTTCGGAATGAGTTTTGGTCTAGTTTCCCCCTTCGTTGTTTATCCTATCATATCTAATAAAATCTGGCAAAAGACCCCGGCTTTTGCCCCACTGGTTTTGGTGGTTTGCCTTCTGGGGTAAAAAAATCAAAAGATATTACTTCACTAGTAACTTCTATTTCCCTTTAATATCTAACCATCAAATTCAATCCCATTTGTTCATTATCTATATGAGAGGTAATAAAGTTATAATATCTAAGTTGATTTGAATTGATTTAGAGAACCTCTCTGATACCACATGTTGAATAATTTTAACGTATTAACGTCTCCAGTAATCTTCTCTAATCAAATCAAACATAATAAATATAACAAGTATGAGAGATATAATTTACTTACTTGAAGGAAATCTTAATTATCTTGTTTGTTGATGGAGCCATAATTCCCGTTATCATGATGTCTAATTTAGTGATAGATTGATTAATATGTCTCATAGACTTCATTTAATGTTATTTATAGTGCTATTGGGACATAAGAAAAGGCACATGACTAAACAATGTGACCTCTAGTTTGTTTATGAAAGAAAAGACACAAATGAATGATGTCTTTATATTAATTTATTTACTCCTGTTTAATGTTGCACGTTGAATCTTCATTCAAGGAAAGTGGGATAGCGAATCGAGAATGTGCAGTTCGACCGCCGGGCAACAATAAAGACGCAATACCACTTGAAGCCACATTCAATACAATTTCTCCTTTAGAACGTATAGCAGCAGAGAGAGTCCTCCACACAAATGTCTTTCCGGTGCCTCCATATCCATAAACAAAGAAAACTCCTCCAATTCGTTTGTCAATAGCTTCCATAACTTCATCATAGACTTTGCGTTGTTCTTCCGTTAGATTTTGAAACAAAGACTTGTGCTCCTCAGCCAAAGCTTCACGGTCATATTGCATTTCTTCTTCTATGAGCCTATTCACATTAAATTGCATGGAGTCCGGAGGAGGAACTGGCATGGGAGGAAAATCGCGGAGACTTTTTCCACGACTCTGTAATAAATATTCAATCTCAACCAAAGCAAACTTTTGCAATTGTTCATCAGTCAACACCAAATCTGAAAATGTATTATAGACAAAATTAGAAAGTTTTTGTGATTTATTCATAGTACATGTGAATAAAATAATAAAAAATTAAAGACGTATTCATAAATTGAAATGTCCTACCTGGATGTTGATATAGTAGGCGCTGCCTATACTGGATGTCTTCTGCCAAGTATTTCCATACTTTGTCCCACACCTTATCCGGTCTGCTCAATGATTCGGACAACAATAAAATTGCAAATAATATCCTCAAAGAAACTGAGGATGCCCAATGACTTGCCTCATGGATCCCATCAATATATTCTTTATCATCGTCCAACAATCCCATGGCATAGCATGCTTCACGGTAAGTGTTGTATATCACACTTTGAACTGTTCTGAGATCTTCAAATGATGTCGCTCCACGAATGTGATTGAGAAGACAACGTAAATAATACGACTCACCGCTTCCCGGTGGAACATAATAAATTCGTCCAATAGCAAATGCCATCTTTCTCGGACACCACTCCCTAGTTTTTTGTTTCCAAACAAACTTCTGTGGGAATTCAGCATATGTCAGCGATCTCGCTTCAGGGTACTTCTTATTCGCTTCCATCCAAGCTAAAAACATGCTGTCCTTCACACTCATTCGATCAAGAACTTTATCCAATTGGTCGCCATCGGAAAAAAGAACAGGCTGCTCTTCATGGAAGTGAAAGCTAAGCCGCTCGACGGGTGGATTTTTATATTGTATTTCAAAACTAAATATGCGCCACGAAGCTTCACATGGAGACACATATCTACAATCATAATACATCTTGATCTCATCAACTTCTTTGTTTGCCCCATCGGCATTGACGTTGCTGAAAAAGCCAGCCGTAACTCGATCACGGCCTTTATTTATATATTTAAATAAATACTTTATCGATCGAGACTGGTTACACCATTCAACATTCATATGAGCACGATACTTCATCAATAAAAAACGGTTGTGGGGAACAACATATCTATTGTCCAAAACAACATTATTCTTTACAATTGTTCGTCCATCATGTCTGCGCCGATAAACGGGATATCCAGAGTCATCCACCGTAGTATCAGCACACCATTTTTTGGGAAAATGTTTAGTGCACTTTCCATTAACCATGCAAGGTGAATAACTTACTAACGGACCACATGGACCATGCATCATTAGATCTTTGACAGCTTCATAATAGTGGGGATCAGAATGAACATCAGGGATTTCAGCTGAGATAATGTTATCTACGTCACTTATTGTCGGAAATTTGGACTGATTTTCCAAGAATAAGAGAATATGAGCGTGCGGCAAACCTCTTTTTTGGAATTCAATTGTATAAACAACTACATTGAAAAAAGATAAACATATCAGTGACCGTTAAAAAAACACCAAAAGTGGTAAATATATAACATTGTAACATTATACCTGCTTGAACTCCTCCAAAAATTTTATTTCGCCGAAAATCTTTTATCAGAGAATCAAGCTTTATTTTGAAAACACGACTAACTATGTCTGGTCGATCTTCTGGTTTTAAATTGTATTGATTTAAGAATCGAGTTATTTCAGGCCACTTTGGGTTGCAAGTAAATGTTATAAACAAATCCGGATATCCTGCCCATCTACAAATAGCCATGGCGTCCTGATAATTTTGAATCATAAAACGTGCTCCACCTGTAAAAGATGGAGGCAGAACAATCCTCTTGCCTTGAGTGCGTGCATCATTTTCTCCCCTAAGAAACGCGTCACTCAAACCCTTATACATTTCACAACGTAATTGTTGCTGATTAGTCCTCACATATTTCAATCTGGCAGATTCAACCATTGTATACCCATCAACAATAAATTGTTGCAAAAGGCGTTTTGTATTCAGAATACATGACGTATTAGAATCTCTCTGTTGCAGACGATATGCTAAGAACTCTTTTATGCTCACATATTTTCTACCAACACCCATAGCGGCATTTGAGTTACCTAATGGGATATCTTCTCTGTAACCATCTTCACCATATGGAAACAGTAAAGGATATTGTAGTCCAAGATATGCCGGGTGAAGCTCATTAATTCTTTGTAATCTCCCCGTCTTTGTTTCTACCAAAATATCTCTTTCTCCTAAAGATTCATCGAAATCTCCAACTACTAAAGCGGCCACCTCAGAAACAGAGGGCAAATTATATGTCCTAGCATCACCCGAACGCCGACCAATCAACTTCAATCGCACGTTGTTTGTATCGTCTTGATTGATCCTCTCCCTTGCCATTCGAAAGCTTTTAACCAAAACATTGTACTCGTTAAGCATGTTCTTTAATCGCTGAACAATATCAACATCCAATCGACTCTTCTCATTGTCTCCCCTAAAAATAACAATGAAATGTTTTTCAATTTATAACAAATCAATATGATAACCCAAGTTCTCTCGTAATGTAAACCATAAACATAATACCTCACAGATGAAATTCTATTATCTAACTCATTTTCCGTATCATAAATGTACAATTGGGCAAACTTCGGCTTTGAGCCCTCCGTAGGAAGTAAGCTTCCAATGAGATGATAATTTTGACCATGGAGCTTAAAAATAGGAGGACATCTTCCCGGCCTATTCAAATTATTCTCTATCCTCCCTCCCATGGAAGTGAAAGCAAACATGCTGTTATAAGACCTAATATTTTCAAGGAAATGTTTGCTCTTTTGATCTGTGCCGTGGATCAAATCATACAACTGAGCCGGTGGCTGTTTCATGGATGCAATCTTGACTTTATTATGCATGCAACAAAGAGAATATTTTGGACTCTTCTTAGTAGAATTAACAACTCGTTCTTCCATCCAAAACTGTGCACCACAAGATGTACACTTGCATATTTGATCACCAATATCCCAATACTCTGTCACACACACATAAATAAAATCTATTATAATAAAATTTATTATTGTTTTTTTAAAACATAACTATTCAACATTTTAAAAATATAGAACCTCTAGAAGCATCGTTCAATATACTTGCAAGTTCTTCATATTCTATAAAATCATCATCATTACTCTCTTCACCAGAATCAGATTCATTCATCAATGAGTGCTCATTGTCTCTGCCAAATCCTTCCTCACTGGCATGCGATCGAATGGATTTTCTTTGTTTATCATTATTTGTAAAAGCTCGTACATGAGTACTTGTAGAAGTACAATTGTTTGTTAAGGACTGTGTACCGATCTCCAAACATTGTAGATTACCTGCCGGTTGATGGCGTGAATTTCCTAATAATTGAACATAGTGAGTATATTTTTTAAAATAAATATAAATGTGGTAGATATAAGATAGTTTACCATTTGTAATATTAGACAATGGAGTATTATATCGTGTTGCATTCACATCAACAAAACTATTTCCAATAGTAAAAGAATTTCCAATTCTAGACTCATAGCGAAAAGTGTGACAAATTCTTCGCTGCTTGTCATTATCACAATCCACGTTTTCTGCATTTTACACAATCTATATAGTTAGTATAAATGTCTAGTAATACACGGGAACACATAATTTCATTGTATGCTATTGCAAATCTTTAAAATGTTAAAAAAATCTATGTTTACATTCCTCTTTATAATTTTAATGTTTGATATAAATCTCTATTTAAATTGTGTAAAAAGGGCTACAAATACATACCATGTCATAATAAGTTATTTAACAAAATTCATGTTCTACAAACGTAATACCTCCGTCGCAAAAAACTTTGTCATTTTTTAAGACTTTGATCAACCATATATTTTTATTGAAAATCTATTATAATATAAAATTTTTACGAATATTTTATCTACTCAAAGTACTTTCTTGAATGTTTGAAATTTTTATTTTTTTGGGTCAGGTCTAAAATTAGACTAAAGTTTTATGCTCAAGTCCGGTTAAGTTTGGTCTGATGGTCAAATCTGATCTAGATAGATAAGTGTTTGGTGTATTTATATTTGACTAATATATTTTGATTTGAATTATTTGTTTGTGTTCAAAAAAGGCAAATTATAATATTAATGTCCCAATAGTTCTATTTTATTAAACAGCTAAACGTGTAAAGCCCAAATTGAAGAAATATTAGCCCAACTCAGATTCATCGGCCCAAGGTGATTTTCAAAACCTTATACTCAAATGTCCTAGGTTACGAACTGCAGACGGTTCATCTTCGCCATACTCGAATCGCAGGCGGTGGCTCATGGAACACAACCGCATCTTCCGTGCTCGCCGCCGGGAAGTGTTTTTGACAGATATTGAAAGCTAAACCCCACTGTCTAGCTCACCGAATGAAAGCATACCATCCACACATCATAGCCCAGCACCATCAATTACAGATCCAAAAACGACGATGGTCTCTGCAACACCTCCGTCACACGCAGTGAGCAGTTTAACCGCGATCTCAAGATTAATCCGATATATATCATCGGATCTGTTCAGTTATCTGACCTCTGGTTGATGACCACAATTTTCGGGTAAGAAATATACAAAAAATACTTTAGCGGCAAACTGATGAAACGGCTGCAATACTTTAGCTATAAAAAACGCAGCAGCAAGAGATTTTAGGGAGATTGGGGGGCGGCAAAGAGTGAAGAGCCGGAGCCGGACAGGGAAGTTGAGGATCGTTTCTGCCGAGAAGGGAGAGCACAAACCTTTGCAGAAGATTTTCTGCACTTCAGGGGTTAGCTTGATTGTGAGAATTTTAATTTATCTTTGTGAAAGATTTGGTTGCTTCTGGCATTTATTCGAACTTGGCAGTTTGATAGTTATTGCTCTTTTCAATTTTAGTCATTAAGATGGTTAGAATAAATTGCTATACTCTTATTGTCTTGGTTTATTTTTCTATGAGTAACTAATTTTTTAAGTCCTGGATTATGATGAAGTTGCTATGAAGTAGTATGAATTGTGATTTAAGTTATGTCAATTGGTTGAGTTTATTCTCAGATTGATCAGCTTCCTATTTTTGATAAGCGTTCTTAATGGATGGATTTTTTTGGCATACCTTCTTTTAGATACTGATTTTTGGGAGGTTTGGTTTGGTCCCCCTCTCTTCCTTGTAATCCTATTCTATTAATATTAATAAAATAACGGCAAATGCTCCCCGGCATTTGCCCCAGTGGATGGTGTGGTTGACCTTCCGGGGTAAAAAAAAAATACAGGTATAAAAAATTGTAAATATCCGATTCCATGACCGAAAAAATATATATTTAATATTCCGTGATGTATTTTACATACTTTTAACACTTCTTACGGTTTTGAAACAGTAACGTTGACAATAAAGGAGAATAGAGGTTGACAGATCGATCATGAAGATCATTCCGGAGTAACTATCAGCCATTGACATACAAAGATGAGTAAATATAACTTTTATTATATTTTCATTTCTATTTACAAATCTTTGATGTGTAAGGATGAGAAATTTTAACTTTACATTAAAATAGCATAGCAGTTTATGATTTTATATGATTTATCTCTTAAATAAGAAATTTCGTCCAAAATTTTTGTTTTCATATAAAAATGATATTTTGATTTGAAAAGTGTATACTGTAGCAAAAAACAGATTTGGAACACAGATTCTGAACATTTATTAACTTATAATCTGTCCCCTGTTTCATTTTAAAGTTCACAATCTGTTAATCAGCATGAAGTTCAATTGAAATGATATATTAAGTCTTGAATCTTGGCATTTTATTCGCTATATCATTTTTTGTATTCAAATAACAATGAAACTTTTATTTGAGCGGTTTAAACATATAATCTGCCCCTGTTTGAAAGTTTTAAGAAATTCACCAAGTCTGCCCATTTGAATGATATTTTAATTGTTTTGCAGGTACTGGTCACAGGACAAACACATTTTCAGTTAGAGCGTACTACATTGAAAGAAAAGGTGTGGAAGGTACATAATATTGATTAATTATCAATGAAGATGATGAAAAGCAACTATATAAAAAAATTAGAACAATAAAAGAA